AACTTCTGCTTGAGGACCAGGGAAAAAATGTGCAGATCAGAGGACATCATATTATCATGGACGATAAAACATATGACCTAGATATGATTCTAAAATATCTTCATGTTTCCCAGCGTAAAGATAATCTTTATGATAACGGGTCTTCAGATGAAGAGGTGGAGGATTCTACAGATTCAGTCATCTCCACAGGTGGCAGGAAGAGAAGTAGACCACACGGCTCCAAAAATGTTGGAGGAAAAAGAATAAAAAGCTTAAAATCTGATGTCAACAATGGTACACTTAATAAATTTCTCAATCTTAATTCAAATAAAGATAAAAAATGAATGAGAAACCATAACTAGGCATAACTCAGACAAAGATTATATTCTAGAACGTAAGGGGCCTAATATTGTTGATGTGCTTCCAGAAGTAAACAATATTGATATAGTGTGTGTCAATAAAACTTGGGCTACGTATGATCCATCACTTTTCATTTCAAGCCATTTCCCCAATTGTGATATTATCTACAGCAAGGCGACGAGGATAGCAACAAGAGGAAAAGCGAGTGGTGTACTTATGGTATACAAAAAAAATATTCAAGCGAAGATCTGTTTATAAATGAGGAATGTATTTTCGTTAAATTTGTAAGTAGAAAATTTTAATTTATAATTGGTTTTATATACTCCTCCCACATCTAATTTTGACTCCTTTTTGTCTACATTGAGTTTTCAAATTGATCGGATATCTTCGAGATTTTCCGATTTGCCAATAAACTTGGGTGGGGATTTTAACTCGAGAACGGGGAACCTCAATCAGCTGTCCAATGAGATAGTTTTAAATAATTGGTATATTTCTTAAGAGAGGTGTAGTTTAGACTCGAAAAGTTACAAAAGGAGGGAGGAATTATTGTTTTTATTGGAGAACAATGGTTTTATTTTAGTTAATGGTAGATCTAGAAGTGACTGTCCTGCAAATTATACTTTTTTTAATAAAAACGGAAAGTCAGTCATTGACACGTTTTGGACAAATCTAACAGGTGCGAAGTATGTCTGGGATTTTGAGTTGAAATGCATTGTAACTGCATGAGATCATTCTCCTATAATAACTAATTTTAATATTTTAATTCAATTTGAAAAACTCACTTCAGGTTTAAAATGGATTCCTAATAAAAAAATGAATATATTTCTATTATGCCAGCATGTAATTTAAATAGTAATGGTAATGTCACGGTTGATGAAATGGAAAATGATCTGATAGGGAAGATTGTACAAAATGCTAAAAGTATAGGAATGACTAAAACTGTGCATAATAAATGTGGAACCTCAAAAATTTGGTATGATCAAGCCTGTGTTGATCTGAACAATTTGTTAAAGGAGTCTTTATAAACTTGTAAATCAGATGGATTTAATGATATAAATTCTGTAATTTATTATAATGAGAAAAAAAAGAATATAACAATTTACTGTTAAGGAAAAAGGAAAATTACAATAATTCTTTATTGGATCGACTGATGGTTGTAAGGGACTCAGCTTCGTTTTGGAAAGTTATAAATTCATTTAGATGGCGTTCTTCCAATATTTACATAATAAATTTAAATACATGGCATGATTATTTTAACTCGGTTTTTGCTCCAATATCTGGTGATGCCCCCTTTATCTGAGATAAAATCCTTGGGAACAAGATAGATAACCCTTTTTTGGATGAACGTATAACTAGAGATGAGGTTGAATTGAGCCTTCAAAAATGTAAGGATAATAAGGCCCCCGGCTCTGATAACGTCACTTACGAGTTTTTCAAAAATCTTTCTAAGAATGGTCTAGATTGTTTAACCCTTTTATATAATAAAATTTGGGATTCAGGGAAAGTTCCAGATTCTTGGGCTAATATTCTCTTAAGAATGTTATATAAAAAGGGAGACGTAAAATATCCCTCTAATTATCGTCCTATCGCTTTAGTGAAAACCATAACTAAAGTTTTTACTCAGGTTTTAACAAAAAGATTGAATGAGTGGGTTGAAAACAACAATCTGTTACCAGAACACCAGCAGGTTTTAGGAAAATCCGAAGCTGCGCGGATCATATATTGAAGAATTCTTGAGGGCTGAGGGTATCAGGGGAGTGTCAATAGATCATTTGACAGAAATAATACTTTTGGCATTTGCGGACGATATTGCGCTTCTGGCGGACTCAAAGTCAGCCATGAACGGGATATTGAAGGCACTTTACAAGTATTGTACATTGAACCAATTGGATATTAACGTAGATAAAACCAAAATAATAATTTTTAGAAAGTGTGGCCACTGTCATGATAAAAATATTGGGCCTTTTTTATATGGTGAAAAAGAAAAAATCGAAATAGTATCTAATTATACGTATCTGGGTGTCCCCTTTTCTAATTCTGCAGTTCTCTTAAATGCCACGAACGCTATAATATATAAAGCAAACCTTGCACAATTTAAGACAATTTCCTTAATTAAAAAAATGAAGCTTAGTTCCTGGTCGACAGTTAATAGATTGTTTGAGAGTTTAGCTGTGAGTGTTTTGATGCACGGAAAAAAAGAAATTAGCTGCAGCAGTAAACAGATGTTTGCTGTGAAATCTCTGAAAATTAGCTACCACAGCTGAGAAGTTTGCAGTGGCAGCGAACATGTTAGCTGTGACAGCAAACATTAGTAAAAATTTATGCGAGTTTGCTGTCATAGCGAACTTGTTTGATCTCACAGCGAACTTTTTCGCTGTCCCTATTTCAACGAACAAGGTTTGCTGTGGCAGCAAAATGTTCGCACAGCAAACCCTTTCTATGCGTGTGTATAATGTGTACATTTGGGGTGTAAGGTTCGGAAACGAAATTGAGAAATTTCAAATTCAATTTTATACTCCAATTTTTATCGAAAAGATACTTGCCATGGACAATGATCGTTATCCTCAAAAATGTTTTATAAAGTTAAAAAGATTGTCGGAAAATAACACTGCCCTACTAAAAATAAAATCAGGAATCGTCATAAATGGTCAGAATTTCTGAACATTCCTGAACAGTCTCACCACTTCTGACGTTTTCGAACGTTTCTCACCATTCCTAACCAAATACTTTCCAAGCTCCTCCCACTTTACTCCCACCATTTTCGAAGCTGTGACCATTTCTGAAATTCCTGACCATTTCTGAAATTCTTGACTATTTCTGAAATGTGTGAACACATAACCTATAAAAATTTTGGTACATCTTTCTAATTTTGGTAAAGTCTCATGAAAATTTATATATACATATAAAATCTTTCAAATTTATTTTAAACATTTCAGAATACATTATTCTATTATAAAAATTGTTCTTTTAACTTAACAAAAGTTCTCATTTTTCAAATTGGTATAATTATTGAATTAATTATACAGCAAAAGTAGGTAAATAAATCAAAACATTCGGACCATTCTTTTAACATTATTTAATATATTTATTTAATGTATATTTATAATATATTAATTTAATATATGTATATTTACTTGTAATTATTTAATATAGTTAATTAATAATAAATTTTGTTTCATAATATTAGTAATTTACTATACCAGTCAGTACTTATTATGAGAAGTATTTGCATTATAATTAACAGTTTATTCTGATTTATTGATAATATTGGTAATTGAATTTTATTATTTTACAGTTGCTCTTTATATAGACAGTTGAATCGAGAAATATGTAAGTCGGTTAGGTAGTCGCAGTCGTTAGGGCAGTTAGTTTAGGCACCAGGTTAGGTTATGCGTCGGGGTTCGATCCCCGTAGGTTCCAAATTTTAATTTAATTCCGGGAATTAGTTTCAAGTTGTTCCGTATGTAAACAAACTGATATTAATTAATAAAATATATTTTTTAAAATTAATTTGTTGAAACTTTTTGCATATTGTTTAAATAAATAAAACAGAAGTGGCTTAAAAATATGGTCAAAAATGAGATACAAATGGTCTCAAATAGTCACCAATTATGGGCGGGGTCAACAAAGAGGAGGGGATAGTAGCAAACTTGTAACCACTTTAAACTTCCTCCTGATCAGTTGTGATAGATTTCTGACGAGATCCATCCAGAATCGTAAGAAAACTGGATTAAAGTGGTCAGGCGGCCTGACCATTTGTCTGACCATTCCTGATTTTATTTTTAGTAGGGTGTAACACATAAGTTTAACTGGTGTGCCCAAATAGGTGGTTTTTTAAGTCAATCAATAGATTTTCAGAATGGGAAAATCTTAATCTGATTTCACTGCAGTTGAATAAGATGCTTTGGGTGTCTGAGTATGGAAATTTTTTATACGAGGAAGATATGTCTCGACTATGTAAATCTTGATCACTGCAACTTCTCCCATACCTTTCTGTAAGCAAGGATATGCAACAGTATTTTAAATTTTGTATACCAATAAAATATTTTAGTATAATTGCTCAAATGAGGCTCGTGAACAATTTTCAAACAAAAATAAGATTAAATGACAATAGGTATCATTGGAGGTGTGAGGGATTTTGCGGTGGTTGTGGTCTCCTCGTGAATGTTGAATTTGGTTACCATGTTTTGGTTGAGTGTGGATTTCATAATCAGGAAAGAAAGAAATTTATTTGTAGTGCGGAAGATGATGTCTCTAAAATCAATCTCCATTTTTGAAATTTTTAACAATCCACAAGTTGACTCCATTAAAAAATTGTATCAGTTTGTTGAGTATATCCTTGCTAAGAAAGAAAGTTTTGTATAGTGTCTATTTTGTAAATATTGAGTTTCCTAATGTATGTAAATTCTGTTATTTTTAATTTTGGTAAATTCTGAAATTTCTATTTTTTTCTATGTACCTATATATATATATACCACGCTCGCATAAGGTTTCAAATTCATAATAGAATTTATCAAGTGCCACGAAAAGAAATGATAAAAATCTAACGCATGAGTGTTAATTATAATATTAAAAAAGATAACTAATAATACTAGTTTAAAATCAAATTGACTGCAAAAGTAAATATTTTATTTTCCATAAGTAAATACCCTGAATAAAAAGTCGGACCGATTTCGGACTAATCCAGAATTTGTGCGCAACAGTACTGTTTATTGTGGAGTTTTTCACCCTGAATTAAGTTTAAAATCAATACCGTTTTTTTATAACTATTGAATCCGTTATTAGTCCGGTTTAGTCCGAAGTTAGTCAGATCATATGCAACTAGTAAATAATGGTACGTAAATCTATTTATTGCGGAGAGCCACAAGTAGCAGATGTTGATCGTTCCTTTCACACGTAAGTAAACTGATTAAAAGTAGGTTATGTTTTTGTGTATATCAAATTTTTGTTTCATTGAAGTTGAGTCTCCAATGTGAGAGAAGGTGCGCATCGATGTTCATAGCTATAGATATACCACAGCATACTTTAGTATACCTATAGCTATGAACATCGATGCGCACCTTGTCTTATTGGAGACTCAACTTGATAGGTATATTCTGTGGAAGAAAGGCATAACAGCATAACTGCATTTGTCATGATTTCGAGATAAATTAATTTTAATGTTCTCTCACTTCTGTGAATTCAGAAAATCAACAGATTTGTTCGGTCTTTTGCATTTAGTATTATTATTTAATATATTTTCAAAATTCTTTTATAACATTTAATAAAACACACGATTTAATATAAATTTTGATAATTTTTCATCGGAATCATGAGTTTTATTGCACTTATGCGGTTATGCAAGTTCAAATTGTATATGAGTCCAACTTCAGACACTTTTAATGTCACAATTTATTTTGGTTTGATTTGTCATAATACAAAGATTATTCACACAAAGACAAATTAAACTATTAATTCGTTAGAAAAAATTGTAAGAGTTTATTTAGTTATAAAATTTATTTTTTATAAAATGTTTTTAATTTATTAAAACGAGAAAAAAAATTTACTTTACTGTTCAACTTGAAGAATTTTTCAATTCATTTTTTGATATTCTTTCCAAAATTTAAAAAAATACCCTTAAAAATAAGTACATAATTAAATGCACAATTTATCCAATAAAAAATTTGTTCCAGTTTTATTAAAATAAATATATTTAATTTAAAGTACGAAAAATGTATTTTACTAAAAACATTTTATTACAAAATTCTTATTGTTTTTATTCATAAAGGTTATTTTCATTCTTAATTATGTCAATTGTTTTTTAAACTGAATGCAGTTATGTTATTATGCTGGTCTCCTTTTGTCAAAAACGCAATTATGCGATTATGTTTTCCATTATTTTCTACATTAATAACCATTTTAATGATTTTTCAGCTATTGAACTTTGAAGAGCAATATTAAATATATACAAATCTGATGTTATCTCAAATTTGATAAAAATGTCAGTTATGCTGTTATGCCTTTCTTCCACAGTATTTATCTGTTTCATTATAATTTAAACAATTTTATTTAATTTATATACAATTAAAAAAAAAAAAAAAATTTAAAAAATTTAAAAATTAATTAAAGTTTTCCATGGAATGATAAGAAACTGCTGGAAAAATTGACATATTTTTGCAGGGGAAATTAACTTACAATGTTTTTATTTTACAGTTACAACAGCATTTATAGGAAGAGAAAATTGCATCCACTGATACTGCTGTAGCAGAAAGTCATATACATAATTATATGCAAAGAAGAATAATATTTTTGCACAATCAGCCATGATACTTACAACAACCGATGGATAAAGAAATATACAATTGTCTACGGCCTTCACTAATTTTGTGTTTTAAATGCATATTTTTAATTTCAAAAATTTACTGATGTCCAATATAAAAATTTATTTATAATGGACTTTTCTAAACTAGTATTTTTAAAAATATGGTATAAATTTGTTCAGGAAATTTTTAATTGTAAATATAAAAAAATACCATTCATTTCTAGTAATGAAATTTGACAAGATTTTAATACAAATAAATTTGAATTAATTAACAATTTACACAGGAAAAAAAAGTCTTGACTCCGTTTACACCTTAAATTTAGCCCATGTATTTCACATAAGTCTGTCCTTGTTTAACGGGGCTGACTCCGTTTACATCTTAAATTCAGCCTCAAAAATAGGCTGAAAGTAAAACTTTTTTTTAGTGTGTAATTAACAATTCTTTTGAATTTATTTTTATTTGTAAATAACACAAATTTTAATAATAAATTAATCGTATTATTAGTTAAATAATTAAGGACATATCTTTTTATTTCCAATAATTTTATGTGCTGTTTCGATAAATTGTTTCTAAATAATTATTTTTATACCCATCCATGATTAAAAATAATAATTTTGTTTACTTTCAGAAATTATTATTAAAATAATAATTCTTTTACTCTTGGGTAGTGATTTCACTTGAAAATTATTTTTCTTAAGTATTAAGATTAAACAATCATATTTTTATACTTTTGAATTTACCCGCTACAAAATGAAAAATTGCCACCAATGGTGGCCAACTTTCGACTTGGACACAAGATTGAAACGGCCAAAGCATTGGTGTCCTCTATCCAGTAGTAATACATATCAGTGCAAACCAAACGAGTTACATACATGCGTAACAAACCCGGGTAACATACATGAAGTATGTTACGTACCCATCCCTGGTGACACCTAATTTTTTGTTCCATTACATTTTTGGAGAATCGAAAGTAGTGACAGTATAGTGTTTTTTGTGACCCCGGTTCATTAACAAGATAAAAAAAGTTTTGTATATCATGTGAAAAAACATTAAAAAAAGATTTAAGAAACATGGAATCGTTAAGGTACACGGAAAAAATTAGTTCAGTACATTTTACGAAACTAATTTCGCACTAACGGATATTTAAGATTCCTTGACGAAGTTTTCTATAAACTCAGAAACTTTCACTACACTGAAAAAAATTCTTAGTAGATTTGACTACTTTTTAACTACTTTCCTTAGTTCAATAAGTCCCCAAAGATAATTTTGAACTTACATTAATTATCAGATATTTAGTTGAATGAAGTGATAATACAGTTGCATTAACTACTTTTCTTAGTTAAATAGGAACCAATGACAGTTTTGCAGTAGAATTAACTGCTGATATGTAGTTAAAGTTACTAAAATAACTCAGTAATAAAGTAACTACTGAAAATGGTAAAATAAAATTATTTATAATTTATTATAAATATTATCGAGTTGTATTTTTTTATATTTCCCCCTACCCACTTTTGTTTACCTATACCTTATTTATTTAATGTCTATATACCTAACGGAGAAAAATCTCTAAGCGTCGGGAGTTGAACGCTCGACCCTAACATTCGTAAACCGATAACCCAACCACCTAACCACGCTCGCCCGCTTCGATGAGTTGCTTAATACTTAAAGGCATTCCAGACACAGTTCAACTGATAACTGTAGTTAATTTTACTACTTAAAGTAGTTGCATTTACAACTTCTCACAGTTGATAATCTTCTATAAAAATCTATAACATAAATTACATGGAAAATAATTCAACTCCTAGAAGAAGTAAAAACTACTACAAAATTAGTCTATCGAACTACTTTAAGTAGTAGAATCTACTACTTTCTGTAGTCATTTCTATAACATACCTGCAGTTACAAAGTTAACTGTAAAATTACATTAATTTAATTAATAATTTTTAACTACATAAAACAGTTAAAATAAGTATTAAAAGTAGCCAGACTAACTAAAAAAGTAGTTCGTTTTATTACTTTTTACTCTACTAAGGGGATGTAGTTGAAAATGTCTCATGTATTTTTTTCAGTGTACGAACTTACTGCAATATGTTTAAAAATCATATGCAAGCATTACAAGTAAAAAAAATAGGCACATTGGTTTTTAGAGGCCAAAAGTTTCTCTGCCTGATCTTTTTTAAATAATTAATAGACCGTAAAACTTAACAAAGTAAATTTTTTTAATATCAATTCTATGAGGATTAAGCTTTAAAAAACTGCCTTGGGTCCACATTTAGTGTAGGGGAGCGTGGGGTAATGGGAGCTTTTAAATTTTACGCACTTAAAAGCCTTCAAATTCGCTGCAATGTCTAGAAAATCTTCTACAATCTTTGTTTTTATCATTCCAAAACAAACGATTACATTCTTGACAAATTTTTAGTAAAGACAAGGGAAAATGTATTTTTTGTGTTTTCGTTGTAAAATGCCAAATATTTTTAAACATCACCATAAGTAGTTAAAATCGTATTATTTAGTTCTGTTTTTTCATTATATTATAGGTAAATATGTGTAGATATGTATACTTGTATAAAAATCGAAATAATAATAAAATTTGTTTATGTTTTTATTTTTTTATTCAAATTTTATCCTGTAAAAATTCTGTGGGGTAATGGGAGAATTAGTGTCAGACCAAAGAATTTTCGTTACTATGTTGCGTCTTTCGTTATTTCTTTGAAAATTGTAAAAGATATCACCTTATGAAAAAACTTTTAATTAAAAAATAATTTTTGGTGGGAAAAATGAAAAATTTAATATTTTTCAAAAATTTTTTATTCAATTATAATTTAGGAAAAAATGTATTCTAAGTCTAAAGTTTTGGCTTCATTGTAAGTATTAACACTTTTTTCTATTAGAAAACAAAAAATATTCCTAAAATATAGAAATTTTTTAAATTTTTAAGTGAAAGCTCCCATTACCCCACAAATTGGGTGATCGCAAAAAATGTATTTTTTTTTTGAAAAATTTTTTTTTCCAATTTACTTTCTCTTTTTAAGTTTCTAATTAAACACAATTAAAGATAAATAACGAAATGAGTAAGAAATAACGAAAACAATGTATCATTATAAAGATAAGTTGGTTTTTTAAATAATTTTCCTTAAGGGGTTCCAATTCCCCCACGCTCCCCTATACTTTTTTAATAAAGTGTTTTATTGTAAGAAATGTACCTGTTGTGCAGTTGTTACAAGTGATAATGAGAACTAGAGGTGTGCAAAAAGCTCGAAGCTCGATCGGGTATTTTCGAGCTTTTCATTTTTCGAGCCGAGCCGAGCTTTATAAAAAGCTCGAATAATTTCGGGTACTCGAATTTTTCGGGTACTCGAAATTTTCGAGTACTCGATTTGATTCGAGTCCTTGAGAAAATCAAAATTTTCTACATTCATTTTTAATTAAATTTTTGTTAAAAAAAATAATCTTTTTTTATTTAAAAGCTCGAATTAAATCGAGTACTCGAAAATTTCGGGTACCCGATACATCGAGCCCGGCTCGGGCTCGGCTCGGCTATTCGAGCTTTTTGCACACCTCTAATGAGAACGGATATTTTTTCCAAAATCCAGCAGATTCGTTTGAAATGTAAAATATTTGTCAAAAATGTAATCACACTCATTTTTTATGAAAATTCTCATGGGTTTTCTAAATTCGTCTTCAACAATAATGAAAAAAAACTTTTTTAAGTTTCTTTCATTTCGAAACAATAATATGAATGCTGCCATCTCTATGGAACTGTCACGTACTATTACGTTGAGCCAAAAATTATAAATAATTAATAAAAATGGTTATAAAAAATTATTTGTCTTCAATTTAGAAATTTTATAGATGATTTTTGGTATTGTAACAACCGACATTCACTTTGTGCAGTTGTTACAATTTACACGCTGTTACTCAAATGATTCTAGTTAATTAAATAATAGATATAGAGCTAAATCAATTATGGCCTTTTAAAACTAGATAATATACCTTTGATTTAATCGTTTGACCAAACAAATTGGAGTTAAACTTTAATCACAGTAACTGTTTTTATCAAAATTGTAACAACTGCACCTAGTCTCCCCTATCTAATTAATTTTAGTCCAGGCATTAGAACAAAACTTCATTCAATGAGACTTGAATGAAGAAATTCAAAAAGTATTTAAAACTTCCATTTTTCCTTTTACAAAATATCACAATACGCTGGAACCAATCTCAACCCTTAACATTCTCCCTTTCAAAGATTCCTGTTGCAACTTGTTCGGGGTACCTCACTGAATATTTTCTGACAAGAAAAATCAAAATCCGTCGGGCGCTTTTTTTAATTTCAATTTTTGTGTTTTAGCGCCAAATTTAAAAAAAACTGGTTTTAATGATCATTTTAAAAAAAATTCAACTTCAACTGGTCAAATTTTGTTCCAGAAATCGTACAAAACCATAATTCTGGTAGAAAATTTTCCGTATAATCGGAATCTGACGTTGGCTTTCGAAATTAAAGCAGCGGTATCCCAGAAAATCCGGAAAACTGTAAATATTATAAAAAAAAATCTCACCGTCGTTTTTTTCAAATTGTCTGTCAAATTTTATAAAAATAAGTGCAATTTCAAAATTTATCAAAATTTACCAATAAGTAACAGTTACGTTTTCAAATTTGCAAAACAAAATATTATAAAATGAACATCTTTTTGTCAGTAATTAAAATTTTGAATTCAAAAGTTAAGAAAATCTAGGGTCTGTTTACAACGTTTCTACCGAGGTTTCTACTGATTTTAAATTTTCTGATTAAAATTTTCTTTCAGCTATTAAATGAGAGAAAAGAAAATTATGCAGAGCAACTCCTAACATCTGTGTGTTACTACAACAGTAATCACATGTAATCGTTTAATCTTGATATTTTTAAATGATGATATTATTAAAACTATAATTTAAATAGAGTAGCATTGACAGAAGTGGGCCACCCGCCGTTTTTGGTTTTACAAGTGACATATCTGTCAACCGAAAATTTTTTCTTTTGTTATCAACAGAAGGTCAACTTTCAGTTGGTTATTAAAGAGTGCGACGTACAATTGTGTTCTCCAGCAATTAGTGCCTCTCCTCCAATTAATCTTGTGGACAGAAGTGGGCCACTGCATTAAAGTTCCGTTTTGACATTTAGTGATTTTGTATAAACTAATGAAGTGGTTCTATGAATTATTTTGAATTTTTAGCAATCACGTCACCAAGAAAGGCTAAACCAACTGGCTATGAACTCATTGACTACGACAAATTACT